AATTATAAAACAATAGTAATTCGTTTTGTTGGCAATGTGAACACGCTGTTACTTGTCATAATATTTTAGTTTCGACAATAAAAGTGGATAAATGAACGGCACTGTAATCGCCACGCGGTGCGAATGCCGTAAAATGCCAAAGGATTGCTCTGATAGTTGTGTATTGCCATTCTATTTTAAACTTAGTTGTACAAGTGGGAGAATTGAAGTTGTGTTGATAAAAAGTTGCTGTCGAAAGTCTAGGGCTTAAAAATGTTTCAAATTAATATACGACTTTATTCGACGCATGTATTATTTAAACGTACCTACATAAAATACATACAGAGAGTATTTAGTAGGGATGGGGTTTAAGTTTTGTTTCCATATTTTATTTAAATTCTCTTTTCGCTACTGAAACATTCATGCATTTTTTTACACAACTCGAGTAAAAGTTTCATGTTAATTCTCGCGTGCACTGCATCCAACAGGTGGTAAGCAGACAGACTGCCCTCTAATTGTCTTTCATATTTATGAGAGTTTTCAACTTATTACTCTCTTGCACGTAGCTTTATATCATTTTACTTGGCTCCTGTGACCTCACGTCGTCTGCCACGATTACACTTTGAACATACTCCACTGAAAACTTTTATGAAATACCTTCATTCGTTTTTGTATTAAATAGTGTTTGTTTTAAGTAAATTCAGCGTTTTTTTAAAACTTATTTGGTAAATATTGTTGTACTGTTTGTTATAATGATAGTTCATAAGGATATTATTGAGTTACCTTCTTAAGTAATGTTAATCGTGTGTGCAGGTTGGTGGGAGGCGTGTGGCGCGGCGTACAAAGGGCGCGTGTGACATCAAAGCGAGCCGCACGGATCAAAGCGCCTTCAGATAACAGAGCCCAGATAAAGCCTCGCTATCGAGCCAGCGCCGGCTGATATCTGATTGTCGGTCAAAGATCGCGCCACCCAACAAACATCGAATAAAAAGGTGTTACACGTTTTTCTCCTCACAACTTTGTACAAGTCTTTTGTGACAATTTTCTTATAATGCGATCAAAAGAGCTTAAAGCGGTTTGAATGGAAAGAAAAATCTTAACAGCTGCTCCATTCATACGCCAGTACTTAACACAAAGAACGATAAAGAAACGTTAAAGTTAGAGGTTGCAAACGTTTGTAAGTATCTGAGCTAAATGTTCAGATGTAACTTAGATAAGTTCTTTTCAAAGAAACATTAAAGCTGATTTATTTATAAACATGTGAGAGGAATTACCTTTTGAGTAGCAGTATCAATGACAGTTCTACAAAAGCTCTACAGTTTCAATATATCGCAGATTGTTCCCCAAACAATGGTAAATCTCTCTAAAACGTGGCGATGCTGGGCGCACGTCGTTTAATCTCGACAATCAGCTGTATGTCTGTTTCGTCCGGCAGTAAATCCGGCGTGGCACGGCACCGGGCCGGCGGCGTGGGCACCGGATTACGCGGCTATGTGCGGATGTGCCGGCGAGCCGGTTCGTGCCGACGCACTCCGATCCGCGATTAGTCCCACTGCCCTTCTTGTCGGAAAATTCGACCCGGGTCATACCCCGGATAAGACTCATAGATAAGTACAAATAAATATTGATTGTGTCATTGTTTAGATTTTTATCTGATATTTGATGATGTACTACTTGTCTCACAAAAAAATTATGTGCCTGTCTGAAGTATGGGAACTTTAGTATTAGTAATGTTTTACTATGATTATGTATGAACACATTTCTGAATGAAGATTTTGTACAAAAACAAAAAAGTTAGACATTTTGATAAATACGGAAAATGATGATGATGATTTTAAATAGTTTAATGACGACAAACAATCATTCTGAGTACATTACAAAGACTTCATTCAAATGAAATCAATAATTCATCATTATTTACCCATAACATAGACTAACTTTACATTATGGCAATTTGGAAGATTTACGAAGAGACCTGCTTTAACAAAATATGTCCGAAGTGTACCAGGTCGTGGAAGAGACGAAGAGCATTCTAACTTGGAGGTCACGCGTATTCTTGGGGAATTAACACACATTACGAGATGTTATTGCTTGAGAATACACGTAGCTGACGAGGGGAAATTCTACTGAACAGTCCTTGGAGGATGAAGATTGGATTCAAGACAAGATTTAGGCTATTTATTGAATGATTTGTTGATTGATAAAATAACTGTCTAAGTTTGTATTATACCTTACGTGAGACATACTAAATGAATTATTAAGTTTTCGGGTTACATGTAACTGTTTGACGAGGCACTCGATAAGTTTCAAGCCATGCTAAAGGCTCATATTCATGAGCAGCATTATGCGACCCGCGACGCGGCGACTGTCGCGCTGCTACTGAACTGTAACTGTTTGACGCCGGCAGTTGTCAAGTTTGTATTATGACATTATTTTTGTTAAAGTCGAGATTAATAACTGATCACAATTTCTACATTTCTTTAATTAACTTTTGTGAAGAACGTTTGGATTGACATAAGTTTTTTATTTCAATACCTTAAGTTAGTGTAGTATGGGTATTATTTGAATGTCTCCATTTCTCCAATATTTTTTTGTTGTGTATGGTATGTGTTTTGTCTATTTTTATCACCAATCAGGATTGTAACATATTCAAACGATGTTCGCAGGTATCCAGATTGCTAGCTGGGAGACTACAGGCATCAGTACACGTACACACTTCTTCTTCAACTCTTCAAAGTCAACAATATTGTTCATATAACATTTTAAGAACTTGTTTATCATGTGTTACAAAATTTAAAATCTTGTTCATCTTTGTTACAGATTATTTTTATTCTTCAGCTTTTATTAATAAAATGTGAATCAATTTCTTTGCTTTTATTTAGGTTGCATTATTTTTGAATTCTTTTTTAATGTCGAAGTTGTACCTACCTATTTGCATTGAAAACGGATGATGATGATTAAATAAAATGTTTGGTTTACTGAAAACTGGTTTTCTTTAATGATCCTTTTTAGAAAGAACCTTAATGAATGATTTAGAGTTTTTGAGTTTTCATAAATCTAAAAGCCACCTAATAAGAAATGACATTAAAATAAGTATCTAATGATAATGTTAGGCAGGCAAAACTTCACAAAGAAAGATACATTGATGAACTGTCGATTACTGTACAGCAGGACTTTGAAAAATAGGCGAACACAATACCACTTAGAAATGATTAAAACACCAAAATATCATTAGGTTATTTATGTGTGCGTGTGTAATGGAATATCACGTTAATAAAATTAAGAAAATGACAGATGTCATTCGAGTCGATGTCTGTGTTGATGTTCTACAAACTACAAAGTTACGTTCGTTTATCTGTAATAGCCAGGTGCTACTCGGTCGTTATTTCAAGAGGCTGTGCCCGTCATATGTCTGCGTGCAGGTGCAAAATATAGAAACCAATTATTTTCACTTCACTTGGACTAAGCGCAATGACCACAGACTAACCAACACAAGCAGCATTATAATAAACTAGCTTTTCACCTAAGCATGCAGTTGTGTCTCCTAAATACTGAGGAGATGGCAAAGATTTTCTGAGTAAATATGTTGACGAGTAGAAGAATTTATATTTCCATACTTATAAAAATGTATTTTTCTTATGGGATAAGTCGTGAATGATCAGACGGATCACCTGATGATAAGCAATCAGCGTCGCCAATGGGCACCGGAAACACCAGAGGCGTTACCGGCCTTAAGAGTATTGTTGGGGATTCAGGGAAGGGGGAAGGGGTTATTAGGTATCTGGTAATCTCACTCACAACGAAACACAACGCGAGTGCTGTTTCACGTCGGTTTTCTGTGAAGCCGTGGTATCACTCCAGTCGAGCCGGCCCATTCGTGCCAAAGCATGGCTCTCCCACACTAATCATCACCATCCCACAGCATCATATTTTTTTTAAATGTCGTTTGCTTTGGTAATTAAAATGTCGTATGCATCAATATCCTCCTCCTCCTTCTATATAAATTTATTCGTTGAAATAGTATGAATGTAAATAATTAATTATTTGGCGCTGACTGTAAGCGCTATACAAATACAAATACAGAAGTACTTAGTTTTAAAATTAATGCGCAAATCTATGGTAGTGACCAAATCTTACGACACGAGAGAATGACAAATCTTATAGATCGCCACGTGTAGGGCAGTTGTGTAAATAGATTATTATAAAAAACAAAGCTACATAATTATCTTGTCTATAATTATATGTAAATAAAATGAATTTCCGTTCGTTAGTCTCGCTAAAAATCGAAGCTGAAGATAAAGATATTTTTTATTTGCATATTGCAATTGCGAAAACGACCGAACCGGTTTGGCTAATTTTGGTCTTAAAATCTTTGCGGAGCTCAAAGGAAGGTTTGAAAGGTGAGAAAAACATTTTTAGGCGGGACGAAGTTCGAGTCGGCTAGTTTGAAATACAAATAAAGAGGACCAACTTTTTTCTAAAGAATAATAATAGTTGTTAGATATTAATAGGGTGAGGCTAAAAACCAGAATATCATCATCACCTCAGCCATAAGACGACGACTGCTGAACATAGGCCTCACCCAGACTTCAAGATCAGCCGCATAGGAGCGACCTGCATAACGCTACATCGACGAAAACCCTCAATGAAGTTGAACACATATTTTCTATACACCTTTAGTTCTTTAAGTAGGTAGTCATTCTTGTCAAGGTAGATGAATACAGACAGGTGCGTCAATAATAATTTTATGTATGAAAGATAACGTAAGCCGAAAAGTATAACTTCTAATACATTTCTTGAAGTAGGATTTAAATAAGATTGAGCTAAATTTAAAGTTGTAAAGGGGTAGGCAGAGGTGCACATTACGGCACCCCATTGCCACTGTTCAATGTAACACCCACTTTTCACTATTTATGTTATGAGTCCCATATAATTGGGGGTGAGCCTATTGCCATATACCGGGCACATTTCCAGGCTCCGTGCGACTACAGTTACTGAGATTTTACGAAATAATAGACATATTTGAACAAAAATATTTAATTGCTATAAACTAAATCACTGAATAGAGTATGCCAACTTCCAACGCCAACCTCTAAGCATAAAAGTAACACGTTATTTCGATAACACAAAAACTCCAATACATACAATATTGAAATACCATAAATATTTACAGATTTAATTTATTTCGGTAATGGCAGAATGCTTCTTAAACTACAATCACCTTTGTAACATACCACAAATTAAGTTTTTTTAGTTTTTCTATAAAAAATAAGAACATCGTGAACCTTGTTTGATCAATATATTTACTTATAGACTCCTTCGATGTAATCTACCGACAAAAAGATTTGAAGCATGTTTATCTAAAATAAAAATTTGTGAACAAAATTCGCTAATAAATAATTGTTATTATTTTAATAGTCTTAAACTAATGTTTAAGCATAAACATAATCATTTGTTATATAATTTATTTGAAATTAGAAAACGTAAGAAAATCGATCTACCTATAGTGAACGTGAACTTCTTGTAGGGTGTTCTGTTCACTTCACTGTTACGGAAAGATCAAACACAAGAGAATATAAATCTTACCTTACTCCCGACAAGCTCAAAACATACATGTGGGAACTATTAGTTAGTACACATGTCATGTACTAATTAAATAAAAGTGGATGATAATAGATTCAGAAATTTCAAAAGACGCGAGCGAAGTTAAAAACGACCGACACGACGACCGACACGTCTAGGTATGTACATGTTAAAATTAGAAATGTTTCTTTTTTACATTATACCTACCTACGACAATTTTCGATTTGATTCTTGATCTTAATATTAAAATTGATATAGATAAAATTAACTAAAAATATTTTCGTTTCATTTCATTATAATTATGCTTCCAAACTTTTTGTCGGTAGTGCATTGTGACTTACTTGACCTTATTCGAAGATAAAATTCTCTAATAAGTTCTCGAGACAATATCTACTAGATATTATAATATAAATCGTTATCGTTACGGCAACACCTTTACTTGTTCACAAAAGCAGTTACATTTAATCGGACTTAACATATATTATTGCGAAATTACCTCGAAATAAGTTAATGTTAATCTATATCGTCAGCCTCAGGGGAAGCTCTGGGAGCTTGTCTGTCAGCAAGCAACGGTACCTCGCTCGGCTCTAGAGGCGGCTCGTCATTGTCGACGACGACGCTTTCTTTTCGTCTACGATCCAAAGTAGACGCCTCGTCACTGACGTCCGGTACATGAGTGGTAGCCCCGTTCGTACCACTCGGCAAGGCTGCGTAGTCAGTTGCGTTGCTGACAGAATGACCATTACCGGCAACATTGGGTTTATTATAAATTTCTCTTTTCCTAGCGATTTCTTCTATCTTGATGTCTGCGTCACCGCCGGGAGTGACAGAGTTATCCTTATCAGTATTCCTTACATCGTCAGCCGGTCGCGCGGCAAGAGCACTCTCCTGTGTGTCGCCGCCCGAGTTCGAGTTCTCCACCGCACTGTCGGGCGGCCTCGTTGTTACCACGTCACCGGTGTGAGTGGTGTTAGTCTGTGCGGTGGAGACAGATGGCGAAGTCTGCGTAGTAGACTGCGCTGTGTTTTGAACAGTTTGTGTAGTCGACTGTGTAGTGGGCGGAGTAGCTTGCGTACCGGTACCGGGTGCGTCGTGGTAAGCTGCACCGCTTGCCAGAGCAGCGATACCCGCCAGTCCCATAACGCCAGCCATACCACGATGCGTACGGAGTAGAAGTTGCTGCAACTGGGCTTGCTGTAGTATCACGGGTAGTTCGTAGTGATGGAAGAAGTACAACATGGAATGCTGAAACAAACATATTTTATTATGGACCACATCTGGAAAATTTTACAACGTTTATTTGTAAAATGCAAAGGCTTCCTCCCTGTTCGGTATTTGAGGGGACATGTAGCAATAAATAACCGGTAAAGAGATAAGCTGGCACTAGTAGCAGCGGAGACGGCGACTGGCTAGGCGAGAGCGGCGCGCTTAGCTCACTCAGAGATGGATGTTGTGAGTGCAGATTATGAGGCACGTCCGTCGAACTGAGCAAAACTCTCTTAGACAAATAAATGAGGGACTCGTGACGATGTCCTCACTCCTCCCCAGTCTTTATTTATTTATTTCTGGGTCAAAGTTCCCACCCCTCGCGTCGTCCGACGTAAGTTTTAATTAAGAAACTTGTGACCGCCCCTGACTCAACTTTTATTTGAAATTATATTTTCTGATCCCCTCATTTTGATTTTTTCCAAGTGGCAGTGTAACGGGTTACCGGCGCAGACAAGTTGCGACACCTTCGTGATTTATTATTCGCGGCGTGCGCTACTTGACAGATAATTGAATGAATTTTACATCATTTTTTATTTTACATTGAGCACAATGGGGATGATGACAGGGTATGAAAATTAAAAATATAATTAGTCCGTAACTTAGGTAATAAAAAAATATTAGACACGTATTTTTTTATTTTGTTGTATAATAAAACAATACTTAGATAAAACGAATCAAAGTTTAGGAGTGGGGGCTAAAACGTCATTTCTTAGTATAAAATGTACTGAGAAGTGACGTCACGCGACATTTCAAATCAATATATCTTCGAAACTATTCGTTTCCGTAAGAAAATAAAAAATACGTGTCTAATGTTTTTAAATAATCTACCAGACGGACATTAAAATAAAAATTAGTCGTCTACCCCATTGCACACAGTGCACGCAGATATCAATTGTTCGTAGATATAGTTTCCGTCGTGTTATGCAGTGTGGTCAAAAATAGTTGTTTTAGGAGAAAACCTTAGATATGTATAGGTATATAGAAACATCTCCATTTTTAGCTAAAATAACCCTAAACGAAAAATTTAATATAAATTAGCTAAAAGGAAAATCTTGTCTTGGGCAAAACGAATTAAAACACATTACATTCACTCAGGGAATTAGGGAATAAATTCGAAGGGCATTTAAAAATCGGAATGTATTTGAATGGAACACATGTCCGGACAGGACGATAGGTCAGTGGAACAGGGGATACATTATACAGGCTTAATTAACAGCACCGGTTCGTGCCCCAATCTGTTCGCGGATCATCGCTACGGTAGCAAATATAAAAAAGGATCAAACGTTTAAAAGGTATTTAATGGACAGAGATGACGCCCCTTTATACGTCCATTAAAATCGGCCGCTTTGAGATTTACCGCCCGCCCTGTTAGATGTACGTGAATAAAAAACGAGGCCATTTTTATCAATTTTCAGATCGTTTGTAACAGATTACGTCGGCAGTGTATAGACGCACGAAACTCTCCTAGAGGCCTGTTTCAAAACATCTCACTTCAACGTTTGTTAGTCTATTTTTTTTTAAAGAATATTATATCGTTCTGATTTTTGATACACCAATTTGTGTTTAAAATACGACAATTTTACAAAAAGGTTTTTACAACGAAGTTTGTACTTGCTAAAGACTCTATACATGTACAGAGAATTTTTCAATTTCTTGGAAAAGTACATGTCGTTAAATGAGATTTACTCCCTCGTTATTTTAGCTGTAGCCAATGTTATTGTTGAACACAAACTATGTTCGTTTGCTTCTTTGGGCAGTCCTTTTTATGTAGACAGTTGTAGAATTGAAAATCCTAAAGCGAATAAAACAAGCACTGAGAAAAAACCAGTGCAATGTAATTTTTGTAAACAGATAAAACTTCTACAATGTAGGTACAATAAAAAGCACAAAAAACCATCCAAAAGTAACTTCATATTGTATATTTTTATAAAGTTAATCTCAAATTAGCACCGAACACACGAGATCAAGTGTACACTTGAGCAACGCTTGTCGAAAGCCGACACTTCAAAGGAACGCGAATTCTTTGTGATAATACATTTTTCAGCCGCAAAATTGTCTTAAACACTTTACGGGCGGCGCGTTGATTATGCCAAGACGGTGGAAAACTCGCACAAAAATAAAGTTATTTTGATTTAAAATGCAAAGAAAAAAATCAAGGAGGGAACGCAGCCAGCCCGCCCCGGACGAGACATTTTTTAAATCCCTTTTCATTTTACAAATCCTTGGACCGTCTCGGATGACTGCGTTAAGAGTTGATATTCTAAAACACTGTTTCCATTTACTTGACCTCGTAGGTGCATATATTGTTCGGTCGACGTTCGCCCACAAGGTATGCCCGTATAATTATGTACACCACAAAGTAAGCCGCTGAGAGTGTTTAACTTAAGTTTAACTATAATTTGCAAGAGATCTGGAAGATTACAACACTTTACATTGTTCCATGATGGCGGGCATTTTCTGTTGATTTAGGACTTGACAGAAATTAACTGAAGCACGCCTATTAAACCTCTACAAGGAGCGACGTCTAGTTAGGCTCTAGTAACTGACAGGGAATATTGTTTAAAGGCATCAAAAATGTCACAGACAATAGGAAGTTACGTGATTATTAATTGAAAGTTAAATCCTGTTTGAGCCTCGTGTCAACAAGTTGTTCCGTCTGTTGAAATTAATGTTAGGAATATCGCACGTCGGTGTCAGTATTATGCGCGGCGCGTCGCGCTGGCCCGACCTCATGAAATATGATTTTTAATAATAAGTTGACACGCTCGATGATTATAAGATAAGCCCCCACTTTGCATTCCGAAGGGGCTTCTTGTTTTTCGTCGCCCTCTCGCGCTGTAATCCGGTAGAGCCTACTCCCGCCTGAGCTGTCTCGAGGCGCGCCTAATGTTATCTCCATACTCAATTATAACTGCGCTTTTGCTGTCAACACGAATTGTTCACAACATGTACATCATAAGATTACGCCGAGATTCCCAAGATTAAACTCTTGCTGAAACTGCTTGTGTAATACAAAAATAAAATTATTAATTCTGTTTGGTTTATTTAAGTAATATGAAAATGAGAACCAAGGTTTCAGAAGGGAATAAACTAAATATTACAAGAATAACTACTAGTAACTAGGAGTTATGAACTATAGTCTAGTCACTTCGAATCTATTTTAGAACTCTAAATATTTCGATGTTTTAATGTTGTAATTAGGTTTTATAATCTATATTGTACACGCAGTGCTATCGCGCAACATTTTATAATCTGTGTTCCTAGTTTAGTTTTTACTCTATGGTAATTGATTTCGTGTTTTACTCTTCTCTTTGGACAACTATTGTAAGAGGAATAAGGATGTTTCGTCGTATTAAATAAATAATAATTATAAAGAAAGTGAATATCATTTCAACCAACTATCTCAACAAAGAAATAACAATTACAGCTATTCGATTAAATTACTTTTGATTGCCTATTAATATTTTTTACAATGGAGGTACTGGCATCGATAACTATCTGATTTACCCAAACATCGTCTACAAGGCAGTTAACGGCCAATTACTTTACTACAATGTAAGATGAACCAAGTAATCAAATTCACGTATAGTGCATACACTACATTTCAATTTAAAATGAATCGAACTGTCATCGTCAAAGACCACAATTTAGATAGCTTGGTCAGTATAAACTGGGCACTCACACATCGACACATCAACACACAAGACAATGTACAGACTGCCAAGTTATTTGATATGCAGAGAAGAAAATAGAGATTGATTCAGTATAGAGATAGCGGCAGCTATTGATATGTTGTGTCCATTCTGTGTAATAATGTTTTAAGCAAAGGTGATTTTCTCTTCCATTATACGCCAGTAGGTTAGACAAAAAACGGTCGATACAACCGATAATGGCTAAGAAGAATTACTCTAGTTAAATAATTATTACAGTTTAGTTAATTCTGCACGGTTGGCGTGGTGGCGGGCAACTGGCTGCCGTGCAGCGTGTAGCAGGTTCGATTGCCGCACGGAGCAACTCTGTGTAATCCACAAATAGTGATGATCACGTGGATGTGAAATTGTATATTAGTAGATGCATCCATGACACAGAAGAAAATCCTAGTATATGGCAAAGTTTAAAAACAAGAATATACTAAAATTATTAACAAAGTCAAATCTTTTATAATCATTGTTTATCTCAATACCCAACCAATTATAGTCTCCATACTTATTGAACCAATCTTTATTTCTTCCCTGCATACTTAATAAGTTGGTTGACTGTACTATTGTGCTTGTACTGTTATAGCTACGGAAGACCGAAGTCCGTTCGCCGTGTTATTAACTTCCGTCCGGAAATCGACGGCGCTGTACGCTCAAGACAGTGTGTACCATCCCTAGCTTTCACGTATCCAGTCGGTACATTGTTGTGCCAACCAATTTTGGTTCATATTATCAATGATTTGACTTATTTACAGATAAATTACCATATTAAGATAATTTTCGTCAGTTTAAAGACTGCCATTGTTGCATATAGCGTTAGAAGTGGAATTGCTAAAATTCTAACATTATTAGGAGTTGCAGCGGTTTTGGGAAGATGTGGCGGGTTTTTCACAAGAAGTAATCGCCCCACTTTGTTTGAGGAGCGCCATTAAATTATTGTCTATTAGAAGAGGATCACTGAATTACAGGACCTGTTTTTCGGTAGTTGGTCGCAATTTTAGGAAATTTATTTGGGCCCGGGTAACAATCAAATAGAGAATTAATATAACAAATTAAAATGTTTGACTACAATGCTAGCAATAAAATTAAATGTGTTCCGGTTATTTGAATCCGAGATAAAGTAAATGTTTGATTTTCTGGTTATCGACAAAATTTGTTCTAGCTTGCGGATATTAATGGCTGCTCTCGATATAAAATGGTAGAATTCTGAGAACGATAGGTTTAGTTTGGTAATATCGTAGCGGAAAACTATGAAGTTAATATTTATCATATTATTTGATTTATTTATGCAAATAGTACGTACATGTAATAATAAAATTATGTGATTTTCAATTATTGATTACAATCAAACTACTGTTTGAACTAGATCTTCATAAATACTTCAGAAGGTTTTTTGGCTCACAGTTGAGTAGGAACTTTAGTTTTGCACTATACTTAACTTAGCATGTAATTTCTTACTGCGTTAGACATTATACATGGTGGTTAGGTCAGTATGAAGTTGTAGGTCCACAAATCACTTGGACGTAATGTGTCACCGTGGTTCCCTGCGGGCAGGCGGAAAATATTACACGCACCGCCGTCATTTCGACCGTCTCGGGACATATTTGGCAAAACTTTGACATAAGACGATACAAGAGTTGCGTTTTCTCATATAGTTTTATACGCATTGACTGCTACTTTGCAAATTGATTCTTACAAAGGTAATACCATAATTCTATAGATGCTGAAGTGAGTTTTTCCTTAGCTTTTCCATGACATTTTTATGCGTAACCTTTGATGATGCGCTTTCGATGTATTTTTACAGCATTAAAATTTAAGAGACCGCAAATTTTCGGTAGTATTTATACATTATGGTGGAAAACTTGAGGAAAAATGAAGTAAACCGAAATGACAATGACCAAATTTGTATGGAGCGTGGTGCCTTTTCATTTTTTCGCGGCAGTTGATCGGATGTGGAAAAACTGATGCAGAATAACATTACAAACAAAAAAATATATGGGGTCTTATATCAAAAACACAGTCCAAATCGAGTTAAATCAGTTCAAAGATGTGAAAATAGTGCTATATTATCCCTGTGATTTTGTTGATGGTGACCGTACACAACGCATATTTCTTGTCAGAAATATTTTGTAATAAATGTTTATAATGATTTCAAGGAATATAATAAAGCTAATCATGGACTTTTTTTCTTATTTTTTTTTTTTTTTTTTTTTTTGATATAAGGCCACTGAATCAGAACAGAGTAAACCATTAACTGACCACTGCTGAAGAAAAAGTAACATTTCGCTTGATTGGCTAGCGTGTTCAATTTATATGTATACGGTTTATGGCCTATGACAGGTTTTCATGATCAATTTCCTCTCAGTCAAAAACCCGCAAAATACTTTACTGAGCCCTATCATGAAATGCTATGTTTGTCAGCTGCGGCGTCGGTAGCGGATTGAATAGCGCTGATCACTTTAAAAGTCGACGGTTTTCTTTTTTTTTTCAAAAGATTATGCTAACTATTAAGTAGATGAGCGTCCCACCAGGAGTTAGTGGCAAAAAAAAAATATACTTTATTAGATGTTTGGACGGCTACCACTACTCAACCCACCACTGGTACTACAGCTGACGCTCATGAAGCTTCATTACACAACTCCTAGAAGCATCCCACAAGATATCGACTGAGAGAAAATAGGTACTAAAAATTAGAGCCTGGCAAAATTAATATATTGTGGTGTGATATGGTTTTCCTGTGCCCGGAGTACAGTGGCGCGCAATTTGAAGTTAGAAATTGTGACAAAACTATGAATAATTTGAATAAAAAACCGAAGTAAAATGTTCGACTCCAGCTCCTTTCAACGCTCATAACTCAGTCCAGACTGAGATTTCCATATATAAGCCCATGGACAATTTCGTTTGTAATGTCATTCTAGATAATATTTTCCATAAATCATCGACTGCCGCCAGAAAAAAGAAAGGCACCAATTTTAATCAATGCCCTTTGTATTAACAATAGTCCTATGTTCAGCAGTAGATCCATTATGAGTGATATAGAGCTGATGAAACAATTTTAAACCATTGTATAATGAACTAAACCATAGGTAAGAAACGTTCAATAAACCTTCAAAGCTATCCAAATTGATGACAAGACGAAAACTATATTCTATATCAAAGCAGTTATAGTTGAATTTTCCACGACGTTGAATAATCTTGACGAACACAAAAACGTATAGGGACGTGATTTGTTGACAAATGCTCGCGGCTCGGATCCCCCTTGAAAAGAGGATCTCTTTTAGTTTTAAAAATAATAATAAGTCCCGCGTGCAGCGATGACAAAATATTTTGTATGTGTGTGTGCGTGTGTCATATGTGGATGTTTGAGGGTCCCTCAGGCGACCTGGCGACCCCGTGACCCGTCTCCTATTGTAACGACACGGCATCCATGCTTATTTTTCACAAGTCATCTGAGACCTCTATAAATACATCCGAATATTCATTCGTGATAAGTCTGACGTTTCGTCTGATCTAAAAATGTCATAATTGTGATTTTGAGCGATCATCGTGGACATGTACTGCTTAAATCTGGTAGATGATAACAACATGTTTACTGTTTTAGTCATAAGAAAGTAATTATTCCTTGTTTGAACTACGCTTATATTTTAGTCGAGTAGTACGAACTGGACGTTAACCTTTTAAAAAAGTTACCTACTTTGAGAAGAGGACCATATAATTTCACCGAATGTCAAACGTACAACATAAAGCTTACGCAGCTATCCTCCTGTGTATGTCATTTAGCATGCAGAGTCGAGGCAAGTGTACCAATAACAGAGCGGTTTAGCGAAAAGCTAATAACGGGTTAGACAAACAGTTTATGTATAAAGCGTCAAGTCCGTGGGTCTGCGTGGCGAGTGCGTGACGCCTGCGGGCTCTGACCGACATCAAAGTGCCCTCGACAAACACGCCACTGCACTCTGTAAATAGGCTAGTTGCAATTTGTCATCATATCCCATTTGCGGACGAGCAAATAGAGAGACGGAACTTACTGTAGATATTATTTTATGTTACACGATTTGCTTGACTTATGTACTACGGTTTGAGTTTGAATGTTGGTTTTTGAGAGGATATTAGTTTACTTTTGTATTTATTTGCACGGCGCCGGCGTGAGTTTTCGGCAATACATTGACCACAGTACAATAAAAAAGCTAGAAATTTAAAAGCTGAGTTTTCGTAGTAGTTTTAGGACCTCATTATTTGAGAACCTACATTATAGAAGGAAGCCTTTACATGTTTAAAAACAAGAGTTTGAATTATTATTACTCTTTGTAAGAGATACTTGCCTGTATGAAGAGCCACGATGTGACGAGAGCAAGACTGCTGTATTGCCCGTTGAACCGGTAGTGGTACGCGTAGAATGAGAAGTGGTATAGGTAGAAGAATCTGTTGGCAAAAGAAAAGATTTGTTAATAATGCATAAATGCTACTAGTAATAGCTGTGGAAACACTATTTTGTTATTTGTTATATGCGTTTGTTATTATCATTTTGCATTCCAAGAGCGCCAACGAGAGACTAAAGTCGTAGTTCCAAAAAAAAACCTATTTTGGTCTCTTTGCTGATAAAGTTGATTAGCTAATATCGTGTAAACCGAAAAACAGATAGACAAGGGATCACAAAACTGAATCAGAATTATCTCCTATATAGCAAAAACAAAACATATACGGCCTCAAAATATAGTAGACTTCAAAATCCTAATGTCTATACAAGCTACTTCTATAGGTATTTAAGTCTGCAGTGTAACATAAAAGACGTTGAATTGAATATCCATTATCAGGGCACTAGAAGACAATGGCTAAGTAATATAAAGAAGCGTATAGTAGGAACCATCACATAAACTATATTCTAGTGTTATCTTGTTACAGCCAATGCTGTAACGGCACAGGGCAGTTTCGTTCAGAAGTTCATTTCAATGTAGTGTTGTAAAATAGCATAGAATCTATTGCAAAGAATATTCTTCATTAACTATTTCGTTGATTAACTATTTCATTAACTATTTCGTCTCGGGTTACATTCCTGAGTAAAGTATTGTTGAGGTTTTTTCATTATTAGGTACATAGGGTTCATAATAAAATAGATGAAAAGTGGATGTTATTTCCTTATTTTTACACTTCATGCAAAATAAATTTACATACTAGTAAGGTGGGCACAATACTGTGGGCATTTTTTATCTGCCAAACCTTTGGGTGATGCAGAAACAAACCAATGGTATATGCAAGAAGTACAATCCGAAAAAATAATGTTACAATGTATAATAGGTATTAAAGCGCTTCTGCCTTCGAGAATTAAACGATGTGACGTAATATCAAAGGAAATTATCAATCTAATAATGAGACATTAAAATAGAGATGACTAAAACCTTAAGTTTTTGGATTGATTTCGTGATGTCAACTTTCGTCTCCATATTCTGACGTTTATGGCGTAATGTAAAGTTATTTCGTCAAATAGTCACCACAACAGAGTAGTTTGTCACCACCCTTACACTTCTTGTGGGTGTGGTCCAGTTCTGAACAGTCACAAGTTACAAAACAGTGAAAACAAGACGACTACTATCTTTGTAAAAGAGACATGTGATCTCCGATTAATTATTTGAATGGTACTTCTGTATATTTTTTCTTGTGGCGTCGTCGTGTCAAGCAACAAGTATAGAGAAGCAACGGCGTCGCAGTGGGCGGACATCATTAGGAGCTTATTGAAACACAAGACGCCATGTTTCATTATAACTGTGTATGCTCAAATGCTTCACATGTACAGTTTCGCTGCGATTTCAACTTGTTTATTTGTGTCGATGAAGTTACTTGAGTATTTGAGTAATTATCTTTTAGATGTGGATTTTAATTTATTTTGGTTAATGGGACATTATAATGAAATTAAGATTACACTTAGAACACTTTATTGCGCATTTTATGTTCAAGTATATGAATGCATGTTGTATGACTACATGCGTATTCATATGGTATTCCCATGTATTCCAAGGTTATCCAAATAAATATTTGTAGTTTAATATTCAACTAACTATCAAAAAGATATATCCAAAATGGCATGAATAGGTCTCCTTACAAATAAAACCTACTTCTTTACCCGTTCAAGGATCAAGTGTAGCCAATAATTCAAGAATGCAGCTTCGCAACATCGCGATACTTCACAGAAGCGACTCGAGCCAATCGTATTTCTCGTGTGAAGATGCCATTATATTCGTTATCTGCTTATTTCGGTGGATAAATTCCCAATGTACGACAAGGGCGACAAACGGGTCCCGGAAAAGGGGAAATGTCACCTCGTTATCTGAAAGGTTGCAATTTTATTTGAAATCGATATTCAGTGTGATATACATTTTCTACCATTGTGTGTGTGTAAAGACGTGCTTTTTGAACGTTGCTCTTTGAGATGTGCTCTTTAGAAATGCGTTTTCACTCGTGTGTATGTGCAGTGCGATGGTAATAATATGAAGTTTAATATGAATGACGTGCATTCAGGTATGCTACAAAGCTGACGCTCTACATGACTGAAGGGTATAACTTCAAGCCTTTTTACATTCATATTGTTACTTGTTTTAACA